CAAAAGTAGTGCACTTTATAGGGAATAGGGTGCCATTTTGGACTCAGACCTTTAGTCATCTGCACCGTTCATTATTAACACAGGAACCAATTAACTCTGTTAAAGTCAAAGGGTTTGTTTTGGAGCCAGTTTGGATGACCTTACAGAGGCTTGAGGTCAGGGGAGATGTCACCTCAATCAAATCTACACACATTAGGCTTCCTAATATAACGTTCAGGTATATTTCCACTCTGTTGTACTCTAGAGTTGATTCTTGGGCAATGTGGGCAATGGTCATACAGTGGCTTGCGAAAGTATTCACCCCCCTTGGCATTTTTCCTATTTTGTTGCCTTACAACCTGGAATTAAAATTGATTTTTGGGGGGTTTGTATCATTTGATTTACACAACATGCCTACCACTTTGAAGATGCAAAATATTTTTTTTTGTGAAACAAACAAGAAATAAGACAAAAAACAGAACTTGAGCGTGCACAACTATTCACCCCCCCCCCCACTGGGATTTTTGCCCATTCTTCAAGGCAAAACTGCTCCAGCTCCTTCAAGTTGGATGGGTTCCGCTGGTGTACAGCAATCTTTAAGTCATACCACAGATTCTCAATTGGATTGAGGTCTGGGCTTTGACTAGGCCATTCCAAGACATTTAAATGTTTCCCCTTAAACTACTTGAGTGTTGCTTTAGCAGTATGTTTAGGGTCATTGTCCTGCTGGAAGGTGAACCTCCGTCCCAGTCTCAAATTTCTGGAAGACTGAAACAGGTTTCCCTCAAGAATTTCCCTGTATTTAGCGCCATCCATCATTCCTTCAATTCTGACCAGTTTCTCAGTCCCTGCTGATGAAAAACATCCCCACAGCATGATGCTGCCACCACCATGCTTCACTGTGGGGATGGTGTTCTCGGGGTGATGAGAGGTGTTGGGTTTGCGCCAGACATAGCGTTGTCCTTGATGGCCAAAAAGCTCAATTTTAGTCTCATCTGACCAGAGTACCTTCTTCCATATGTTTGGGGAGTCTCCCACATGCCTTTTGGCGAACACCAAACGTGTTTGCTTATTTTTTTCTTTAAGCAATGGCTTTTTTCTGGCCACTCTTCCATAAAGCCCAGCTCTGTGGAGTGTACGGCTTAAAGTGGTCCTATGGACAGATACTCCAATCTCCGCTGTGTAGCTTTGCAGCTCCTTCAGGGTTATCTTCGGTCTCTTTATTGTCTCTGATTAATGCCCTCCTTGCCTGGTCCGTGAGTTTTGGTGGGTGGCCCTCTCTTGGCAAGTTTGTTGTGGTGCCATATTCTTTCAATTTTTAAATAATGGATTTAATGGTGCTCTGTGGGATGTTCAAAGTTTCTGATATTTCTTTATAACCCAACCCTGATCTGTACTTCTCCACAACTTTGTCCCTGACCTGTTTGGAGAGCTCCTTGGTCTTCATGGTGCCGCTTGCATGGTGGTGCCCCTTGCTTAGTGGTGTTGCAGACTCTGGAGCCTTTCAGAACAGGTGTATATATACTGAGATCATGTGACAGATCATGTGACACTTAGATTGCACACAGGTGGACTTTATTTAACTAATTATGGGACTTCTGAAGGTAATTGGTTGCACCAGATCGTATTTAGGGGCTTCATAGCAAAGGGGGTGAATACATATGCACGCACCACTTTTCCGTTATTTATTTTGTAGAATTTTTTTGAAACAAGGTATTTTTTTCATTTCACTTCACCAATTTGGACTATTTTGTGCAAGTCCATTACATGAAATCCAAATAAAAATCCATTTAAATTACAGGTTGTAATGCAACAAAATAGGAAAAACCGCCAAGGGGGATGAATACTTTTGCAAGGCACTGTATGTCCAGACAATGGTCATGGCTCCTTTAGTGCTAAGAATGAACTTCAGAGTACCACAGAGTGGAAATGTACTGGGATATACATGTGTGCAATGGTCATGTGCAGACAAAGACATTGAACAACACATTGTAACGGGTTAAAGTTGGTTATATACCTGGCCTGTTTATTCCAATGCTCCACTCCCTTGACTTAAAGACCCTGTGCTGTCTCAGTTTGGTCCCCAGGATCTCACCTTGTGTGTAAAAAATAAAAATAAATAATCCTTAGATCGGATACAAGTAGGAATGTTTATTTATGGTTAAATCCACCAAGTTCCATCTTACACACAAATATGTGAACTTCTCCCTCCCTCTCCCTCCCTCTTTCTATATGAGCAGCGTGGTACTGGTCTCCTAGTGACCATGTGTGGTACCACAACAACAAGTGGAGTTAGTTACAAATCAAACTTTATTTGTCACATGTGCCAAATACAACAGGTGTAGAACTTACTGTGAAATACTTAATTACAAGCCCTTAACCAACAATGCAGTTCAAGAAAGAGTTTAGAAAATATTTACCAAATAAACAAAAGTAAAAAAATAACACAATAAAATAACAATACAGAGGCTATATACAGGAGGGTACCGGTACCGAGTCAATATGCGGAGGTACAGGTTAGTCGGGGTAATTTGTACTTGTAGGTAGGGGTAAAGTGACTATGCATAGATAATAAACAGCAAGTAGCAGCAGTGTAAAAACGGGGGGGGGGGGGGGGGGGGGTCAATGTAAATAGTCCGGGTGGCCATTTGATCAACTGTTCAGAAGTCTTATGGCTTGGGGGTAGAAGCTGTTAAGGAGCATTTTGTTCCTAGACTTGCACTGCACTGCAACACGTTTGTGATGTGGTCAATGAATGGTAGCGAATACAAATCGTAAACATGGGCTACACACATAGTAGAGTACAAGAGTTCCAACCATAGCAGCTAATGCTGAAGCTTGGGCTGCCTGGCAGTCTGGCATCATTCCTAGTTTACCCTGTTCCAGTTTTGATTGGTGTTTATTACTCTTAAATAGGTTGCAGGCTTCGGATGTTATCCTTGCCTGTTGCAAGGTAGAGGGTGCATAAATAGCTACCAGTTGAGCTATTATGCAAAATCATTGGCTGCTGGGCTCTGTCCCTGGCCCTTCACCAGTGTCCATGCAGTATCAAGTGAATTAGAACTCTCTGACCTATCTGTAGTCTTTACTGAAACTGTCCATGCCCTGCCCATGCGGTATCAACAGCATTCAATGTCCTAACTCTCTCTACTGGCTGTCTCTTGACTGAGGCTGGTCTTTCTGAATTCACACATTGCAGCCATCAGTCTCCCGTGCTCTGAGCTCTGTGCAGGAAGGTCTCTCGGCTAGAGACCTCAAGGCACTCCGCAGCTCCGCAGTCTTGAAAATGTACGACCCTCCTTAGTTACGGTTCTGTTTTGAACTTATGTACCCGTTTCAGCTCCGAGCCTGGTCCTGGTCCTGGCTCGCGTTGCCAAGGCATGGTTTCCTCTAGCCAGGCAGCTCTGAGGAGCAGGAGGCACTTTGCCTGCTTTCACATTCCCACACCTCTGGTTCTTACACCTCTGGTTCTCTCACCTCTGGTTCTCTCACTCTGGTTCTCTCACCTCTGGTTCACACACTTCTGGTTCTCACACCTCTGGTTCTCACACCTCTGGTTCTCACACCTCTGTTACCCTCTGGTTCTCAACTCCATGGTTCTCTCACCTCGGTGTCCACATCTCTGTTCTCACACCCTGTCTCTCACTCTGGTTCTCACACCTGGTTCACACCTCGGTTCTCTCGCCTCTGGTTCTCACCCTTTGGTTCTCGGAACTCTTGGTTCCACACCTCGGTTCTCACACCCTGGTCTCTCACAACTGGTTACACCACTCTGGTTCTCTCACCTCTGGTTCTCACACCCCTGGTTCTCTCACCTCATGTTCCCACACTTCTGATTCCCACATTTCTGGTTCTCACACCTCTGGTTCTCGCACTCTGGTTCTCACACCTCTGGTTCTCACACCTCTGGTTCTCTCGCCTCTGGTTCTCACACCTTTGGTTCTCTCACCTCTGGTTCCACACCTCTGGTTCTCACCCCCTGGTTCTCTCACCTCTGGTTCTCACACCTCTGGTTCTCTCACCTCATGTTCCCACACCTTCTGATTCCACATTCTGGTTCTCTCACCTCTGGTTTCCAATCTGGTTCCACCCTTCCTGCTTCTGGTTCACACCTCTGGTTCTCACCCTTGGCTCTTCACCTTGTTCGCAGCATTTGATAGCCATCAATTGACAAAGGTTTGCAACGTATACCATTCGTTTCACACCTAGTTTCTGAAACATCTGTAGACTCCTCTAAGTAATGGTACAGCCCGCTGGCTGAGTAGCTTTCATTGACAGGTACTTCATAAAAAAGGTACAGATCCAGTCCTGGAACTATCTGTAAACACCCTCTAAGAAAGTACAACCGGAGGCCAGTGTGTGGAAGACCCTCAGAATTGACAAACTAAGGCTACGGTCCATCTAGACCTTGGCAGACAGTGAGCGATGGCCTCTTTTTAGATGGACTTACATGTTGCTGTGTAAATATGTCACCTGTAATCACCTGGTGACAGTAACTATTTGGCTGGTCTCAGTGTGTCATGTGAACAAAAGGTTGAGTTCATCCCAAATGGCACCCTATTTCCTACATACTATATATAAAATAGGGTGCCATTTGAGATGTACTCTTTGTCATGTTATTACCCCTGGTTATTACAAAATCCCACTATCAATCTTTCCCCTTTACCCGTAACCACTTTATGTAGGCTAGTGTTGGTCTGAATGATGGCCAAAATGAACAATGTTCTCCTTTGGTCCATGTCATTTCCTTGTCAGTTCCTGCTTTAGGACATAAAACAACTCCCACTTGGCTGGCCTTGTGTCTGAAAATGTGAAATATGATACAGTAGGTTGATTGAACGGGCTGCCTGTCTGTAGAAATAGCTCTTCTCTCAGGAATTAGGAAAGAAAGCCATCTGGAATTTAAATATTTTCACCCCTTCGTGTCGCGTGGCATTACTCTTGTTTCCTGGGCTACACCCGCCTCGCGGAGTATTTAAAGTTGGGGTTCTCCTCTCCATGCTCCAGTCTAGCCCTCGAGCCCTGCAGCGAGTCAACAGAACCGAATGACTGAAGAGCGCTTGAAAAGGGAATCTCCTGTCTGTCTGTCTCACTGAACGAAAACAAACGTGTTGTAGTGTGCACGCTGTTGAAATAAACTAGCAACAATGTCTGAGGAAACTATCACCAGAATTGGCCTCCTTCTCCTCATCATCTGCTCGGTAAGTTTAATATATAATATGACATCTTATATATCAGATGTTAATAAAGTGCTGGATTTTCATCTACTAATTTATGTAACTTTGTCATCACTTTGCATTTGATGCAATAGCCCATTCTTTCTCTCTCATTCACCCGGCTTTGTTACATGAGTTGTCTTGTCTTCATATTTATTATTAAGTTATGTAAATGTAGATTTAAAGTACAACTTTTGGGAACGCATTGTGCAGTTATAGCAGCTAAAACATTCCATGGGGGTGTGGTCTCACAGCAAGCAGCTCTGTAAAGTAGTCTACAGCAGCTCTGTAAAGTAGATGTAAAGTATTATACAGCAGTGCTGTAAAGTAGATGTAAAGTAGCCTACAGCAGCTCTGTAAAGTAGCATACAGCAGCTCTATAAAGTAGGTTACAGCAGCTCTATAAAGTAGCCTACAGCAGCTCTGTAAAGTAGCCTACAGCAGCTATGTAAAGTAGATGTAAAGTATTATACAGCAGCTCTGTAAAGTAGCCTGTAAAGTAGCCTACATCAACTCTGTTAAGTAGCCTACAGAATCTCTGTAAATAGCCTACAGCAGCTCTATAAAGTAGGTTACAGCAGCTCTATAAAGTAGCCTACAGCAGTTCAATAAAGTAGCCTACAGCAGTTCTATAAAGTAGCCTACAGCAGCTCTGTAAAGTAGCCTACAGCAGTTCAATAAAGTAGCCTACAGCAGCTCTATAAAGTAGGTTACAGCAGCTCTATAAAGTAGCCTACAGCAGTTCTATAAAGTCGCCTACAGCAGCTCTGTAAAGTAGCCTACAGCAGTTCAATAAAGTAGCCTACAGCAGCTCTATAAAGTAGGTTACAGCAGCTCTATAAAGTAGCCTACAGCAGTTCTATGAAGTAGCCTACAGCAGCTCTATAAAGTAGTATACAGCAGCTCTATAAAGTAGTATACAGCAGCTCTGTAAAGTAGAATACAGCAGCTCTATAAAGTAGTATACAGCAGCTCTGTAAAGTAGAATACAGCAGCTCTATAAAGTAGTATACAGCAGCTCTGTAAAGTAGAATACAGCAGTTCTATAAAGAAGCCTACAGCAGCTCTGTTAAGTAGCCTGTAAAGTAGAATACAGCAGCTCTGTAAAGTGCCTACAGCAGCTCTATAAAGAATATAAAGAAGCCTACAGCAGCTCTGTTAAGTAGCCTGTAAAGTAGCCTACAGCAGCTCTGTAAAGTAGCTTACAGCAGCAGCTCTGTAAACAATGCAAGGTTATGCAAAAGTAGGGTTGTTATAATCGGGTGTCATTGCTACTGAAATTGTTGGATTCAAATATGCTATGTTCTTGGGTTCGTCTTATTCATTGCTACTAAAAGGAACATAATGTGAGTACAGAGAAGCAGTACAAATAACTTAGTAGATTGCGACATAGGGCCTACAATTTAGTGCCAAATTGTTTTTGTCCCATCTTATAAAATAGTTAATCCAGGTTTATGTTAATTAATGTTATGTTAATCTTTTATCACTACATTTATTTAGATAAACAGCACATCAAGATTTGACAGCATTTGAGTAGCCTATATTGATTTCTTAAACTTGTATATATTGTTTTTATTTGTGCATGCTGTAATACCACTGTGCATCACTCTCCATAGAAAAGATTTGCCAGAATTTATTTGGCCTCAAAGAGTCGTGTCCCCATCTTGTGGCAGTAAGATGCATTACAAGTGAGGTGTTACACAAAACGTGAAGAAGCCCCATACAACATTCTCTGGTTCTTTCACACACAGACAGTATAGACCTACCTCAGTGCTTAAAGTTGAGTGGATGAACACATCAAATCCTGATATCAGACACATTATTCACACATTATTCACATATGTTTTCTTTAGCATTTCTGACTGTTTTATTTTCTTCTGTCTACAGACAATGGCCCAGGACTGTTCTGATCCCTGTGACTGCCCGTCGGACCCCTCTCCATGCCCGTTTGGTACCAGCCTGGTTCTGGACGGCTGTGGATGCTGTAAGGTGTGCGCCAGGCAGGCCGGCGAGCCCTGTACCCACCTGGAGCCGTGTGACCACCACAAGGAGCTGTACTGTGACTATGCAGTGCTGAGTGACACCGAGCACGGCATCTGCATGGGTGAGTTAAATTCTCCTGTCGACTACATTTACATTTGTACATTTAAGTCATTTAGCAGACGCTCTTATCCAGAGCGATTTACAAATTGGTGCATTCAACTTAGGATAGCCAGTGGGACAACCACCTTTTATTTTTATTAATTTTTTAGGGGGGGGGGGGGGGGGGGGGGGAGAAGGATTACTGTTATACTATTAAAGAAAGGCTAGGAGGTTTTGAGATATCTATCGAGACTGTGATCACCTCTTGACTCTCCTATTGTAGAGATTGCTACATATTTGTGTTGACTTTGTCAGAGCTTCGGTTCTCATTGTCCGAACTAGGGCCATCTCTGGGTTAAGCGATGTCCAATAGGTATTTACATGAACATTATGATGTTAAAAGCCTTTGAGATGTGAAATCTAAAATGGCGTCTCCTCCTGTGTTTCAGCCCAGGAAGGCCAGACGTGTGACCTGGGAGGGGTCATCTACCGCAGTGGCGAGAGCTTCCAGCCCAGCTGCAAGCACCAGTGTGTCTGTATGAACGGAGAGATCGGCTGCGTGCCAACCTGTGCCAGCGACGTGCGGCTGCCCTCCCCAGACTGCCCGTACCCACGCCGCATCCAGATCCCTGGGAAGTGCTGTGAGGAGTGGGTGTGTGATCAGAGCCCTCAGGAAAAACCCCAGCAGGCCGGGGGTGGTTTTACAAAAAAAATTTTTTTTTCAGGGGGGTTTTTTTTTTTTTACTCTTTTTTTTTAAAACTTTATTTTTTTTTTTAAAATAATTTAAAAAGGGGTTTGTTTTTTTTTTCCCTTTTTTTTTTTTTCGGAAAAAAAATTTTTTTTGTTTTTTTTTTTTTTTTTTTCCCCCCTTTTTGCTTTTTTTTTTTTTTAAAATTTTTTTGGGGGGGGGGGGGTTTTTTTTAAAAAAAAAAACCCCCCCCCCCCCCCCCCCCCCCTTTTTTTTTTTTTTTTTTTTTTAAAAAAAAAAAAAATCTTTTTTTTTTTCAAAATTTTTTTTTTAAAATTAACCTTTTTTTGGGGGCCCCCCCCCCCCAAAAAAACAAAGGGGGGGGGGGGGGGGGGGAAAAGGGGGGGGGGGGGGGGGGGGGGGGTTTAAAAAAAAAAGGGGGGGAACCCAAAACCCCCCCCGGGGGGGGGGGGGGGGGGAAAAAAAAAAAGGGGGGGGCCCTTTTCCCCCGGGGGGGGGGGTTTTAAAAAAAAAAAAAAAAAAAAAATTTTTTTTTTTTTTTTTTTTCCCCTTTTTTTTTTTTTTTTTTTTTTTTGGGGAGGGATTTTTTCTCTCTTTTTTATTTTTTTTTTCCCCCTTTTTTATTCTTTTTTTTTTTCCCCCAAAAAAAACCCCCCCCCCCCGGGAAAAAAAATAAAAAAACCCCCCCCCAAAAACCCCCCCCCAAAGGGGAAAACCCCCTTTTTCTTTTCCCTTTTTTTCTAAAAATTTCCCCCTCCCCAAGCCCCCCCTCTAGGTAAACACCGGGGGTTTCTCGGCACCCCCGGGGGGGGCGCCCCCCCCTCCCCAAAAAAAAAAGGGGGTCGGAAAAGGGTGAACGTTGAAGGGGGTGAGAGCGAGAGCGCGCCGAGAGAGACGAGAGCGGGGAGAGCAGAGAGCCGGAGAGGGAGAGAAGAAGCGAGGGGAGGCGAGAGAGGAAGCGAGCGAGAAGGAGAGAGAGAGCGAAGAAAAGAGAGAGAGAGAAGGAGAGGAGAGAGAGAGAGAGCGAGGAGAGAGAGAGAGAGAGCGGGGAGACGAGAAGACGAGAGGGTGGGAACTATATACTATCTGATGATGATATCTATATATCTTGTTCTCTGCTGATCGTTGTGCTCGTCTCTCTATTTCTCTCTCTCTCTTCTATTCTATCGGTGAACTTCTTTTTTAATTATCTTTAGTGAGTATGTATCCCCCTGAGTGTCTTTCTCTCTTCTGTGTTGAGTGTTACTCTCTATCAGTCTCTCTTCTCGGCTCTGCGCTCAGGAGAAAGCTCTCAAAAAGATTTTCCCCTCTCTCTCTCTCTCTCTTCTCTCTCTCTCTCTCTATCTCTATCTCTCTCTGTGTCTCTGCTCTTCTTCCCAATAGTTCAAATAACACACCTCTCTCTCTCTCTCCCCTATTTTTCCATTTCACCTTTTTCCTCTCCCCTTCTCTTCTCTCAGGATCTGAAATTCACCCCTTGGTCTCTTCTTCCCTTCTGTCAGTCTACAGAGAGGTGTCAGCCCACGGGCCGGTCCCGGCGGAGAGCCCCAGGGAGAACTGCATAGTCCAGACCACCAAATGGGACGAGTGCTCGGCCACCTGTGGCATGGGCGTGTCGTCCCGCGTCACCAACGACAACGAGCGGTGCCAGCTGGAGAGGCAGACCCGTGTCTGTATGACCCGGCCCTGCCACGTGGAGCAAGAGAAGGACATCAAGGTGGGTCCAGGGCCTAAGACAATTATATAGTATAACAACATATAGAGGAACGTATTATATAGTACAACAACATATAGAGGAACGTATTACATAGTATAACAACATATAGAGGAACGTATTATATAGTATAACAACATATAGAGGAACGTATTATATAGTATAACAACATATAGAGGAACGTATTATATAGTATAACAACATATAGAGGAACGTATTATATAGTATAACAACATATAGAGGAACGTATTATATAGTATAACAACATATAGAGGAACGTATTATATAGTATAACAACATATAGAGGAACGTATTACATAGTATAACAACATATAGAGGAACGTATTATATAGTATAACAACATATAGAGGAACGTATTATATAGTATAACAACATATAGAGGAACGTATTATATAGTATAACAACATATAGAGGAATGTATTATATAGTATAACAACATATAGAGGAACGTATTATATAGTATAACAACATATAGAGGAACGTATTATATACAGTTGAAATCAGAAGTTTACATACACTTAGGTTGAAGTCATTAAAACTGGTTTTTCAAGCAAATTTCTTGTTAATAAACTATAGTTTTGGCAAGTCGGTTAGCACATTTACTTTATGCATGACACAAGTAATTTTTCCAACAATTGTTTACAGACAGATTATTTCACTTATAATTCACTGTATCACAATTCCAGTGGGTCAGAAGTTGACATACACTAAGTTGACTGTGCTTTTAAACAGCTTGGAAAATTCCAGAAAATGATGTCATGGCTTTAGAAGCTTCTGATATGCTAATTGACATCATTTGAGTCAATTGGAGGTGTACCTGTGGATGTATTTCAAGGCCTACCTTCAAACTCAGTGCCTCTTTGCTTGACATCATGGGAAAATCAAAAGAAATCAGCCAAGACCTCAGAAAAAAAATTGTAGACCTCCACAAGTCTGGTTCATCCTTGGGAGCAATTTCCATCACGCCTGAAGGTACCACGTTCATCTGTTCAAACAATAGTACGCAAGTATATACACCATGGGACCACGCAGCCTTCATACCGCTCAGGAAGGAGACGCGTTCTGTCTCCTAGAGATGAACATACTTTGGTGCGAAAAGTGCAAATCAATCCCAGAACAACAGCAAAGGACCTTGTGAAGATGCTGGAGGAAACAGGTACAAAATGATCTATATCCACAGTAAAACGAGTCCAATATCGACATAACTTGAAAGGCCGCTCAGCAAGGAAGAAGCCACTGCTCCAAAACCCCCATAAAAAAGCCAGACTACGGTTTACAACTGCACATGGGGACAAAGATTGTACTTTTTTGAGAAATGTCCTCTGGTCTGATTAAACAAAAATAGAACTGTTTGGCCATAATGACCATCGTTATGTTTGGAGGAAAAAGGTGAATGCTTGCAAGCCGAAGAACACCATCCCAACCGTGAAGCACGGGGTGGCAGCATCATGCTGTGGGGGTGCTTTGCTGCAGGAGGGACTGGTGCACTTCACAAAATAGATGGCATCATGAGGAAGGAAAATTATGTGGATATATTGAAGCAACATCTCAAGACATCAGTCAGGAAGTTAAAGCTTGGTCGCAAATGGGTCTTCCAAATGGACAATGACCCCAAGCATACTTCCAAAGTTGTGGCAAAATGGCTTAAGGACCACAAAGTCAAGGAATTGGAGTGGCCATCACAAAGCCCTGACCTCAATCCTATAGAAAATTTGTGGGCAGAACTGAAAAAGCGTGTGCGAGCAAGGAGGCCTACAAACCTGACTCAGTTACACCAGCTCTGTCAGGAGGAATGGGCCAAAATTCACCCAACTTATTGTGGGAAGCTTGTGGAATGCTACCTGAAACAATTGACCCAAGTTAAACAATTTAAAGGCAATGCTACCAAATACTAATTGAGTGTATGTAAACTTATGACCCACTGGGAATGCGATAAAATAAATAAAAGCTGAAATAAATCATTCTCTCTACTATTATTCTGACATTTCACATTCTTAAAATAAAGTGGTGATCCTAACTGACCTAAGACAGGGAATTTTTACTAGGATTAAATGTCAGGAATTGTGAAAAACTGAATTTTAAATGTATTTGGCTAAGGTGTATGTCAACTTCCGACTTCAACTGTAGTGTATTACATAAGCATGACGTAAGATGACATCACATGGCATTTCTCAGCACATTTTAAGTGAATGTAAACAAGAAGCCATGCAATGCAGGAGCGTAGAATGTCTTTGGCTCCTTATTATTTACTGAAGGTTAAACCCAAGCTGCCCTAAGCATGATAGACAATGTAGCGAGTTGTTGTTCCCATTCTAAGCTAACCACCATTCTTCTTGGTTCCACAGAGAGGGAAGAAGTGTGTACGGACCCCCAAGTCCCAGCGCGGCATTCGCTTCGCGCTGTCAGGCTGCAGCAGTAGCAGGATGTACAAGCCCAAGTTCTGTGGCGTGTGTACGGACGGTCCGCTGCTGCAGCCCCCACACCACCATCACCGCCGAGGTGGAGTTCCGCTGCCCCGAGGGAGACACCTTCAGGCGCAAGATGATGTTCATCAAGACGTGCTCCTGCCACCACGACTGTCCACGAGACAATGACATCTTCCTGGCTTCGCACTCACGCAGAATGATCGGGGACTATGACAACGATATGTAACCGACGTGGCTGCCATTACAGACGCACTGCACGGATACATATGCATACACAAACACACCGACAAGCACATAAACACATCAGCCCACACACACACACACACACACACACACACACACACTGATAAAACTACTTCACATCACTCCCCCACACCCTCACACACACCCATAGGCAGCTTTTTGAATTCCTAGACCCCACATCTCTACCTTACTACCCATAGACATGTCTACCTAGTAGTGAGACTGAAAAAAGGTATGTGTGAGTTCAAGCATGAGATTGACTCTTTTAGGTTTTATTTTGTTTGTTTTGTTTTGTTTGTTTTGTTTTGTTTGTTTTAACGCGCAGCTCTAAAGTCACCTGGCTCTTTGACTGGTCTGCCTGTATCTCTACAGAGATACTGTAGGGTGGATCTGACGCACTGAAGACTCAATGTTAGAGACACTTACCACATCACTTAGGAAGGTATATATTTATATTCACTGCTAAAGTGCTATAGGACCATAACATGGTAGTGTACAGAGGAGCGAAAGGCACTGAACGGAGACACTTACTCAACCGAATGTCAACATTTTGACATAAAATGTTAGAATACGACATTTAAAAAAAAGACTTTTTTCCATATGTTAAATATTAACAATACAGAAAATAGTTTGGGATATATTATAATACTGGTATGTGCCTCGACTGATCTGCATAATATTGAGTGAATATATAATTATATACAACTGACAGGAAACTATTGGAAATGTTTCTGATCGAGTCTTTTAACTTCGACGTGGATGTTACTTTAATATCTCTAATTATTTAGTCACTTCATTAGTTGTTGACCACTGATATATTTTCAGTTTAGTCCAATGTTAAGACTTTGGGTCCCTAAAAGTTGCTGTGTCTGACCCTTGAATTCACCTTCACAGCATGGTCAAAAAGAGAAATAAAATTGAAAAAATCCAAAGACAAAACACTAGTCCAAAAACACAAAAAAGTGGCTTGGCTGAAGAATGTAAATAATATTGTTTACTGTTTATTTAAAAAAGTATAGAAAGAACAAAGGAAAGACTGAAATTCTGCATTTGACGAATACACCTAAATACTGTAAGACTGTGTACAGTTTAGTACTATAATTTATGTACCCAGTTGTTGTTGTTTTTATTAATAACACCATGTTGTTGTTTTAATTAATAACACCATGTTGTTGTTTTAATTAATTACACCATGTTATCGGTTGTTGTTGTATTTGTATCATACTTGTTTTTCACTGTAACCACCTGGCCAAGATACAAGTGAGTTCCTATTTGTTGCACTTTTGTCTATTTCTAATTAAATAAATTATATATTTTTATACATAAACTACTTTTCATCCTTTGTCTGACTTACATGGTGAGACTAATTGTTTCTGAAATATTACTGTTAAAGACTGCAGAGAAATCGAGGCATTTCTTAAAATAGGGTCACAACTCTAGAGAGAGGAGGGTGTGGCCTGTACAGTCTGTCATCATTTCCCTGTTCAAAAAAAAAAAAGGCCTGCTGTATAATTCTAATGGAATGAGATGGAACATGGAATGTTCTTCTAGAATGATACAGTAGCAGTCCTCTACTGCTAGGACAGCAAAGGGGCAGCAGTTAGCCTAGCGGTTAAAAGCGTTGGGCCAGTAACCGAAAGGTTGGTTAAGAGCGTTGGGCCAGTAACCGAAAGGTTGGTTAAGAGCGTTGGGCCAGTAAACGAAAGGTTGGTTAAAAGTGTTGGGCCAGTAACCGAAAGGTTGGTTAAGAGCATTGGGCCAGTAACCGAAAGGTTGGTTAAGAGCGTTGGGCCAGTAACCGAAAGGTTGCTGGTTTGAATCCCCAAGCCGACTAGGTGAAAAATCTGATGATGTTCCCTTCAGCAAGGCACTTAACCCTAATTGCTCCTGTAAGTCTCTCTTGATAAGAGCGTCTGCTAAATGACTCAAATGTAAATCTGGGAAATGGTCAGGAAAAAAAGTCCTGTCTATTGAACCAGTGGAACATAATGGTTACTGGTTACGCTGGTTGCGTCCCAAATGGGGGGGGGGGGTCCCACATGCACAATCAGTGTCTGCATGCTTGTGTGTGTGTAATGTGTACGTACATGCGTATGGTGTTATGGACACGGCTGTGTGACAGCGTCCACAGTCGACTGCAGCGTTTGCACAACACAGGGTGTCAAGGAGTAGGAACCAGGAACTAGTCCTCATGGGAAGGAATGTTGTTTTGGGTGTTTGCTTTAAATATTTCATACCTTTTCTGCTTACATGTGTCATTTCACCAAAACACACACTCACACACAAGGGGTGTACGCATGCAAGCACACACACACACACACACACACACACAGACAGAGCGTGCCCTACATGCACCTGGATCTCAGAACCCACCCTGGCAGCAATAGAAGGTATGGGGAATTAGGTAACTGAGCACAAAGCAATGACTCTCTTCAACTCATGTGCATTCTCCCGTTTAATTTGAGATCAGTTCACCTTTCTGAAATGACAGTAATATGTTAGTATTATGAGCTGGACTGGAGCCCGTTTTTGCTTGTAATCAAATGTATTTGTAATAGCTGGTGCTGCTGTTTAGGAAGGACAATGTAGCTACTGTTTCTGTTTGTATTGATGGAGCTGGGGCTGCTGTGTATAAATGGCATTGTAGGTAGGTGGCATTCACTATGATTTAAACATTATGATTTGTGTCCCAAATGGCACCCTATTTCGCTTTATCGTGCACTACTTTTGACCAGGGCCAATGGGGCTCTGATCAAAAGTAGTGCACTATATAGGGAATAGTGTGCCATTTAGGATGCGCACTATGAGCAGTTATCCGTGGGTGAATATTGGAACAGGGATAGTTGTGAGTGGATTTTTATTTTAGTGTGTGTGTGGGGGGGGGGGGGGGGGGGGGGGGGGGGTCATTATTATACAGTGGAAATTGCTGCGTAGAGTTATGAAGAGATGCTCTTTAGCACTATGATCGAGAGCGTATCCATCCCCGTAGGCGGATGTGTGGGCATTCTAAAATTAGTCCCCAAATATGTCATGGCAACGAGCAAAAAGCATAGCAAAAGAGGACAGAGCTTGAAAACTGGAACAAAACAAAACAAAAACAAAAAGAAGCTAAAAGACTGAGCCTAAATTTATTTAAAAAAAATCTTTGTTCACAGTAAATTCCAAGTGAATGCCACCAGGAGCCTAGAGGAAGGGCAGGTTGTTGGATGACTGACCATCACACACAGAGTCAACACAAACCATGCATGACATTTAGGAAGTCTGTCATGTTTGGTTTCCCCTGCCCATGTTCTCCAGTGAGAGGACCTGACCTCTCCCTGACCTCTCACCTGAAAGCCCAATCCACCTCCACAGATCTTCATTGACCTCTCACCTGAAAGCCCAATCCACCTCCACAGATTTTCACTGACCTCTCACCTGAAAGCCCAATCCACCTCCACAGATCTTCACTGACCTCTCACCTGAAAGCCCAATCCACCTCCACAGATTTTCACTGACCTCTCACCTGAAAGCCCAATCCACCTCCACAGATCTTCCCTGACCTCTCACCTGAAAGCCCAATCCACCTCCACAGATTTTCACTGACCTCTCACCTGAAAGCCCAATCCACCTCCACAGATCTTCACTGACCTCTCACCTGAATGCCCAATCCACCTCCACAGATCTTCATTGACCTCTCACCTGAAAGCCCAATCCACCTCCACAGATCTTCACTGACCTCTCACCTGAAAGCCCAATCCACCTCCACAGATTTTCACTGACCTCTCACCTGAAAGCCCAATCCACCTCCACAGATTTTCTATTTAGAAAGGTTATCACCAGGTGAAGCACAATAATGAGGATGTTCAATGTATATTATGTTTAAATTGTTATCACATCTGAGCTCCATCTGAGCATAGTCTATTATTTAAAAAAACAACAGTGAGTAAAATGCATAGCCTACTCTCATATCCTACATTTCAAAGACAATGTGATAAAGTATAAGCAATATTTTACTTGGGTGACACTGGAATATTATTGATTACCATCAATATGGCAGACCAGTTAAGAGCATTGGGCCAGTAAATGAAAGGTTGCTGATTTGAATCCCTGAGCCGACTAAGTGAAAAAAATCTGTAGACGTGCCCTTGAGCAAGGCACTTAACCTGTAAGTCGCTCTGGATAAGAGTGTCTGCTAAAATGTAAATGTGTAAATTAATACTTATTCAGCCCAGAGATCAAGATCTCCCTCCATCCCTTGACCTTTATGGCCAAAGTGCATCTCACCTCTGACGTCAGAGTGGCGCAGTGGTCTAAGGCACTGCATCGCAGTGCTAGCTGTGCCACTAGATATCCTGGTTCGAATCCAGGCTCTGTCGTAGCCGGCCGCGACCGGGAGACCCATGGGGCGGCGCACAATTGGCCCAGGGTAGGGGAGGGGAGGGAATGGCCGGCAGGGATGTAGCTCAGTTGATAGAGCATGGCGTTTGCAATGCCAGGGTTGTGGGTTCGATTCCCTCGGGGGGCCAGTATAAAAAAATTAAAAATGTATTCACTAACTGTAAGTCGCTCTGGATAAGAGCGTCTGCTAAATGACTAAAATGTAAAAAATGTAACGTCAGTTTAGCACCTTCAGCTCATGGCCAGCTGGGTGGGTAAACAAGCTGCTTATGGCCTGGTCTGACTACACAAAAACATTTTTGGGTAACAAACCTTGCAAATTGCTACTACTACTCAACAAATAAATAAATAAATAAATAACACCAATCAGTGGTTGTTTTCAGTCACTAATCCCAGTTCGTTGCCCGTGCGTAACGTTATCGGGTGAGAAACCACAGGACACCTGGCTGAGATAAAAGCGCTTTGCTCCAATCACCGTCTTCCAGGGGCGCGGTAAATGGATGTCGCCAGCCCTACAGTAGACTACAATCCGAACTCCACAGTGACGTTTTTTTGACGGAGGGACGTTGCTGTGTTAGTGAGAATGGGAAAATAAAAAGGAGC